TGAAAACAGTTACCCCTATCGTAAGGATGTGATGTTTAAATGTTCATGTGAAAACAATTCTAAATTTGTTTACAAATTTTCCAAAAATGTTTAAACGACACCCGAATTATTTAAGAGGGACCTACTGTACATGTTTGTTCGTGCAGTCTTCCTTTGAGTTAAGGCCAGAGTCTATCATTTGCAGCTTTCCAAAAAGTAACTGGCGTAATTATTGTTGAAAAACATACTTGGTTGAAATATAGTAAGGGGACTAAACTCCCTGTGAAATTATTCTTTCTGGCAAGCTGTCATTTTGAAGAAATCAACAAAAGAAGGCCTTTCCAAATGTTTGGAATTGAATACATGTTCATGAATCCTTCAGGGCCTACTCTTTACTTTTTCCAAGTTCCAGAAGAGACTCTGCTCTACTTTTTCTTGTCTTGAACCTCAAATCCCACAAAGTTGATAAAGTTTTGGGTCCTTACTTTGTTTTTCTTCTCAAACACACACCGTCTCTGCCACCAGTGTGTCGCTGGCTTTTTGGTATCAGATGGATTCCATCTTCCCAGGAACCTGTTGCGTTTTACACCAACGCTTGGTCCTTGATTGGTCACCCAATATGGGTCCCACCTTGCCAGGCTGCTTGGTTGACCAACACTTCCATAAACACCCCCTTGGCGGTGTCCAAACAGTCAGAGAGCAGACAGGAAAGCAAAAAAGGCTTTCTTTGTCAGCGTGTTGCAGCCTAACATATACATTTTACACAACTCATTTGCCTTTTGAAACTCTATTTCAGGCTTTACATGTGTAGTTTTGGGATAAGGCAAAAAAAAATAATAAGTCGGTCTCTGGTCAGCGCGCGCGTCGATTTTGATCATGCGCGTCGATCTTTTTCTTTTCCAAAATGTTCTGCGGTAGCTCCAACAGCGCCCTCTATTTCCGCACCTCACTTTTTTTTACCAAAGAGCACCAAGGAATGGGAAATTGCACCAAGGCAAATGATCGAAAGCACCAAGGCAAATTATGGAGGACACCAATGTACATGAGGACACCAAAAAAAGCAAAATATTACCCCACCTTGTCTGTACAATCCACGCTTGAAGAAACAAAAAAAAAGCAAAAAAAAAAAAAAAATGCGCGTGGCCGCGTCAATTCCAGAACTTTGGTCTGACCAGAGACCGAATATTTTTTTTTTGGCCTAACACTAATGTGTTTTTGTAGCTCAATGGATATACTGTAGCACAGTTACCAGTACATGTAGTTTATTTATAATCTAAGATATTCAGACTTGAAAAAATGTGGAAGACCACCTACCCAACCTGTAGAGCATGCCCAACCACAAACCAAACCCAGCCCTGGCCTTCTCCCGAATATTAAATATATTAAAGCGTGCATAAACTTTTAGTACATTCCAAAAACTTTGCTTGTTCGTTCCCAAAGTATATTGTTTATATATTTATTTAAATCGTAAAAAGTAAGTGGATCGTAACCTAGGCCCTCGATGCACATATTTTATTGTAGACTTGAGGTCAATCCAGTCAGTAAGCAGTTTGCAGTTTGTAGTTATAATTCATTTTGTTATTTATTATTATATTTTATTTTTTTATAGCAATTTTAATTTACCTGTGCAGTGTACGTACATGTACAGTGTACAAAAACGTGTGCATACAGTATTTGGTGTATGGTTATTATGTAAATTGTACCAACAACAAAGAGGTTTGGCTGAAAAGTACACAAACACAGTGGCATAGCTAACAGTGTGTACAAAGTGACATTGTGTAAATTCTTGGAATCTGATAATTGCATTTATAAAAAATAAAAAAATAAAAACTTTTAGGTTCAAGACTTAACCGAATTGATTTGGAAGGTATATAAATAGGATCATTTGCTTTTCATGCAGTTTGTTCGTTTCCAATAATAACACCACTAAAACACAAAGAGAAATGTTCAAAACCTAACTTGAAAGATACCTGTTACTGTTAGCTCAGTGGATATTATACTTTTTTCAATAAAACAGTGAAAAACCATGCAGAACCTTGAGCATGATTTCGTTTATAGATAGCACTCTTTATTTCCAAAATTCAGTCTAGATAAACGGGGCGGAGTGACATCATCCGAAGAAAGCATAGATCTATCATTTGCACACCAGTTTTACCATTCAGCACTTCAGACTCAAGAACCATTGAGTTTCAAGAACATACATAGGTCTGGGAGTTGGATAAGCCAATGTAGAAAAAGATTGACCTAGATTGACTGATCGTTGGAAATCAGCCAGACGGAATAATTTTACAGGGTGTTAATCCAAGAAAGCTTTTTGATAATAATTTGGTATGTTACATTTACTTTGGATAAATGCAAATGATCCTATAGTAACCTTTTATAGGGCAACTGTAATACATGTGTGCTGTAACTGCAATGTACATGTGTACATGTACATGCATACATGTGCCTGTTATGATTTTGTGCATAGTGTGCGTTACTAGTGAGCAATTTGTACAGGTTTGGCTTTAATTGCTGCATCTTCCCCACTGCTTTCGGAAACTATACCCCAGTGGTGGAGGACATTCCAGACAAGTGATACCCATAGTCCTACAGGCTCTTTTATCCGTGGGAGACCTGGTCGTGGGTGTCTTGGGAAGAAGAAAGCTCTCTCCGGGAAGAAACTGTGGCTTGGACTTGGAGAGAATTTCTTAACGATTAATCATTAGTGAACAATGCTGAAGGTTGTTTTGTTTTGATTTTCAAATTGTAGATGCAGATAACACTGCAGAGTATTACAAACAAAACAAAAACAAAAACAAACCAGTGATGATTGGGATCATGTCTGATTGGCCCTAATGAGTACAGCAAACATGTAAGCAATGTACATTATAGCGTTAATGACATATTTCTGTATGCATGTGAAGACCTACAGTGTACATTGTACTTGTTACTACGAAAGCTTAAAATGCAAACTTTCATTAGAAAGTCATTTAAAGTGCTACCTTACTTTTTAATAACTGTTGTCTGCTGTGGCAGTCATGTAGTCCACGTACACCTGAGGTCCGCAAATGACAACCGAGACGAAGCCAAGGGTGCCATTTGCCCCTGAGGGCAAACAAACCCGTGGAAATGTATACCCCAACAGACAACAATTGTTTTGTTACAACATGGTTTTATTTTTTTATAACTTGTTTGAGTCTTTCAGAAGTCAGGAAATGATCATTTAAAAGTCATTTTGTCAAGACAGGATCTGTATACCTACATAAATGAATACATGTACCCATATGTTATCTTAATTATGATATGGCAGGTCACATTTTTTAAGGAAAGTCCATAAAATGTTTTTGAAAAGTCAACTGCCGACTCTACATGTATGACATGTACATCTAAAATTTTAGGTTTGGTTGGGTTGCACGTATGTACGTGTATACGCACTGACACAAAACCACACTACTATAGCATGATGTGAAGCATCAGTGCAATGGTATGCAATCAGCTGTCGGATGATTTCGATGCACCAACAGAAAATCACAATTGGAGAACCGTTATCAGTCAGTCCGGTTATCGCAATCAGATGTGAATGCACATCAGTCCGTAATGGGCAGGGCCCGGACCCCCTAAAAATAGCAACGCAGCGTTTGTTTAACTGATGGGACACAGATTCCATTTTTAAACACAAAAGCGGCCCCTCCCACTGCCGCGGCAATGCAATGCGAGCAAAGATATCTGCTGGATAAAAAAAATTTGTGCAAACAATATGATAGGTCCACAGTTCATCAGATGGATTCACTCAAGCAACCTAAGCACACGTGCGTAAATGCACAAATATCCCCCGAAAAAACCTGTGCACCACCCCTTTCTGAATGAACAGATCTCGTGATCTCGTGACTAATCTATTTTTAGATTTAAGTCTGGATCGCACACAATTCAGGTTCGTGAACATGAATATGAGTGTACATTTGTATGTGTCATCAAAGTTTGACTGTTGGTTCTTTCCTGCCCTTCCACCTCTATGGCCCGGGTTCGATTCTCCCCCTGGTCCACTTGTGGATGGTTTTCAGTCCCTACCTGACTCTGTGCGTTTCCTCCAGAATATTCTTCTGGGCTTTTCCTCCTAACTTCTAAAACTGTAATACCTTCTCACTGTCTCCTCTAGCTACAGGTTTTTTCAGGCTTGTGAGCTACAGTGCTTAGGGCACTCTTGAAGATTCCTTGGTTTCATGACCAGAAATAGAAAATAACATGCAAACTATAGCAAACGGTTGCATTACATACGCATTGTACTACATGTACATGTACATGTAATTCACACATCCCTAAACCCGTTACATGTGTACATAAATTGCCATTGTTGTGTTGAATGGCTGGCAAGTTAAACAAAGCAAGCTCCTGGCAGAACTTGACTGCTTGCAGTTCTACAATTGCATGTAACAGCAATTCCATTATCAGCTGAAACATCATCTGCATACATGAATTAAGACCCACTGAGCCACTACACAAAAAGTTATGACAAAAATCATTTACTGTAATCAAAAATCATTTGAGTTTGGGTTGTTCCATTTTGAGTGGAGGGGGAGGTGGCAAGCACTCCCATGTCAGGCATTGCCCTTTAAGTAGTAGAGCCTTGAATTACGCGTGAATGATGAAGAAAGACCATTAGTAGTACATTTATTTATGTATTTAAAAAAGGGGTGCGTAATGAGACCTACATGTACCTGCACATGTGTACTCGTCATGATTATATTTGCATTAAGGTTCAGCGTGTGCCAAGTTTTCACACCTCACCGTGTATCTGTGGAGAGTTAGACAATGAATCAGTGGCCAACTTTGACGTACATCGGTAATAGTGAGTCAAAAAGAGCAGTGCATGCAACCGTACGTACATGTACGTGCACCTCCGAGCTACATGTGTGACATTTAAACTCCCTTGATGGATAGTGGTGCACGCTGCTCATGCATTATTCATGAGGTGGCTGGGGTTTGTTTGACATCATTGCGTGTGACTGGGCACCCCATTGGATTATTGTTGCACACAAGAGAGCTTTAGCATGCATCATGTGGCAGGCCGTGAATTCTACGAGTTGCAAGCAACTGTGTTGTAGTAGTAGCAGCAGAAGGCAGAACACTTCACGCACACACTCACTGTGTTTTTAGGAACTCTATAGTGGTTGGTGCATCTACTGTATAGCAGTCCGTAGTCCGCACTTCTAGTCTACATTTATATTCGAGGAAACTTGTCCGGGAACATGCCGTACACTTGCTGAGCGGGGAGCACATTTGAGGACATGCAAAAGTCGGACGACACACAGATGTTGACAGCAATTGGCCAGCCCTCTCTTTCAAATTGGTTGATATCTCCTGCTTGTCGGCGCTCAAGATAAATCTGGCTGTTTGGGAGTTATAAATACACGCACTGAGATCTGTATCACGGTCAGTGATATAGCTTCACACATGAACTGATGCTTATTTCTGAATCACGACCGTCCAGTCAAGTTCAACGCGTACATTCTTTGGCGCAGATGATCTGGGACATGTGAACAAGTGCACCAGACTATCTGGTCATTATTTTGAAAGGTTAGTTGTGTAGGGTGGACAAGAATTGTCGGTTGATGTCATCATGTGTAAATGGAAGTTGTGTCTATTTTCAAGGTATTAAATAACGAACTGGGCAATTTAACATGCAGTCACTGTCTCTCGCGGACAGTTGCATGTACACGTATTTTTGAAATGCATTGAATATTTTTCTGGGACTGACAAGAACACTTTTTATTACTTTCAGATTCATGTATTTTTGTTGACAAAGGCTGGCTTTTTGTGTGTAACTTTTTTAACAAATGACTTCTGAGATGTTTCAACATCGTGCTGCCCCAAACGGCATGTACACATGTACGTGAAACATACATGTAGTGTACATGTACATGGTTTGCATGGACAAGAAGTTGCAATAAAGTGTTTCTTGGAAAATTAATGTTCATGTATACATATACACATGTACATGAAGAGCTTTTCTTGTATGGTTTGAATTTCAAGAAATGTACATGTACATTATTTACAAAATGCATGTCTGTTTATAAAGTTAAAAACAATTGCAGTTACTCATGGAGGGAACAAATTGAGACACATTTCATACACGTATGCACAATTTACTTGGAGGAAAAAAAGACTGTTCATTGTGACAATGCTTGGCACTGGATGGAGAATTTTTTTTGAGTTTGTTCAAGTTTTTGTCTGTAATACACATGTGCAGTGTATGTACACATTTGCATTGTAAAACAGAGATTAAACGAGTTGAGTGTGGTCTTACTATCTATACAATATGTATAGTTGCACAAAATCCATATGTTATACATGCTAGCTTGTAATAATACAGAATTTCCTTGAAACAGTCAGCAGTATTATAAACAAAAGTGCATGCCAACCGTTGTGTGCACATGCAGACTGTACGTGTTTGCCATTTTCTTTCCTCATGTGGTATCGTGCAATGCTTTTTCCGGCCATAGTTCCTGTCTCGGAAGCGACCCGTTGTTCGGCTTAGGCCAGTCAAACCAGATGGGGGTCTTTGGGTTCATGGAATCCTAGCCCTTTGAGAGGCTGTTTTCATTTTTGAAACTTCAAAAAACAGTTAAGCGCTTCAGACTTCACTGTGGAACTTGCCAAGTATTTCAACAGCTACATGTACATGTATTTTTCAGAGTCGCTACATTTATTTGGCCTAAGTTTGTGAAACTTGATGACCTTTGCACAATGTATTGTCCACATTTATTTTCATTCGACACTTATTATGCTTTTTAGAGTTATGTAGTGTCACTGAAGACCCCTTCCCCTCCCCCCCCCATGACTATGAGGTCCATGACATGTTAGTTGGTCACACCAACATGAAATTGACAGAGTGGAAAGGATCCATCTTCAACTGACCGTGAACTTTTAATGTCTTTGCCTTACATGCCTATTTGTGTAAGGGTGATTATAGTCCTGCAATAACAGGAATTTAGGCTTTTTTAAATTGCAGAAAACATGTACACTATGTGTGTATTCTTGTCTTGTGTACCGCCAACTTCCAGCCAAGACAGACACTTAGTATAACAGCGTGGTGATTTGAATTGTTTTGGACAACATCTTTTAAATTTGTCCACCGTCAAAAAAGTTGAACTTTATGCATTTTCATGCCCCAAATTGTACCAGAGTTACAAAACATCAGATTGAAAATGGGTGCTTGATAGTTTGTTGCTCAAGATGTCTAGATATTTAGTCTGCTACTCCAGAATTTTTTTTTTACTGAAAAAAAAGTCTGTAGCTAGCCACATGCTCAGCTTGAAATTAATTTATTACTTCATTTGTTAACTGAACAATTCAGTATGAGTGAGAGCAAACATTATACATGTACACATTATGTGTATGTGCAAGGCACAATTGCTTAAGCACACCCATTTATCACGCCAACTGCATAATATTCCATAAACAAAACCATCTGAACAAATTTAGTCCGTGCAAAAATGGGAAGCTTTTTTTCCTCCTCAGGTGCACTTGGTCATGCATGGCAAACACCTGTAAAAATGGAATGGCATTGTGTTGGGACTTCTGCAGCACTGTGTTACTGCAAATCTAGTAGGCCTTCCCAAACGCCATGAAATCATAATAGACATTTTTCAAAGAAATTGAGGATGAAAAGAACCCCCGGATGAATTTTGTGCGTTGTATTTGTTACCATGCAAAGCAAAACACTGTGGATTTTGGGGTACGAGATCAAGGCCGGTTTGTTCTCATCTGTGTGTGTGTGTGTGTTTGCTATGTATTTTGTATTTTTTGTTCCAGTGAACAGAAACCTTCAGTGAAATTTTTGACCAAGGTAAAGTACATATTACACTGCTGTCTATTGAAATAATGGATTTGTTTTCGTCTTTGTAACAAGTTGTGGGTAATGTAAACAAGAAAATGTACTATTGTAGAAAAATCTTGTAAAAACCCTGATGCACATTGTATATTTGCCATTGTGGTGCACAAGACGACTCAGAGATAAGAAAATTGCCAAACAGTGTTTTTAATGCTCAGTCCGGCATAGTGACTAGTTTGTGTTAGGCATTTACATGGATTTGAAGGCAGATTGGAACTCTGCTTAAAGTAACCCTAACCCTCCTCAATCCTCTAGGTGGTTTTGGAGGAGTTTGGATGATTGAGACTGTACCGGTCATTGTTTGTGTTCAGTCATGCATAGTTGAGCCCTGCATTATGCTCGATATCATCGGCACTGCTTCAGAATGTCATCGACACTGCCTCAATCCTTGTCGGAGGATGTTGAAGGATGGAGGTCATGGTCACCCATCCACTGAACAAATTCAAGAAATAACGGATGGTTTTGGAGGATTGAGCTGAATCCAATTTTTACATGGTGGCAATTGGAGGATATTGCAGGATTGTAGGATGTTCCTTGCCAACAGGGCCTACCGGGTAGGGGCTAGGGTTGATACTGTAGTTGACCTAGTGTAACAGGATACCCTGTTGCACATCCCATGTTGTTTGGTGGCCATCAGGTTCAAATGGAAAATGCAGATGCACTAAAAAAAGTTAGGTTGCACTAAAAAATTTGCTCGTTCAAAATTTACATGTACTGTTGAGCGTATATGTATGTTTGTATGAACTTTTAATCGGATGTGGTGAATGTACATGAAGTAATGTGTAGGTCGTTGGTCACTTCCCTCCACAAAGTAAGGAAGAAGTGGCTGATTTGCGGTCAGCCAGTTTGTGGCTTTAGAAGCCCTTCCTGAATGCATTGTCAAGTGATCAGTTTAGTTGGAATACTGTTGCAAGCTTATAAGGTGTTTACATTGAGTATCTTTCTTAGTTGATGTAGGAAGCCAAATTGAAATTTGTCCTGTTTCACTGCCCAGAATTAAAGTTGACGATATAAACCAATAATTACAAATGTGCTCACAAAGGTCTTGATGTCTCACAAGCGCTACTTAACATAAACATTATTTAATTGATACTGATTGTAATCAAATGAGATCACATCTGACCCAGCTTGCATTTGAAGAACTGTCTTTAAAAGTTTACATACTTGTACATGACATGTTCATGTACTTTTTTCTTATTAGTTCATGTAGTTCAAGTACATTTTGTTTAAGTTCACTATTCAACTATTGGCTGCCATGAGTGCCATCACTTCAACTCCATCCCCAAAGATATTTTCATCAATATTTAAATATTTGTACATGTATGCCCTTTACTAAACAGCAACCCATCTCTTGAAAAACATCACTGAAGATTTTGGCATTTTCCTACTGTATACATACATGTTAGTAAGTGTTCTTTGGGATAAATGAATTAATCTGATGTGCATATATATACATGTGTACACATTTTGTCAACACCATCAGGATGAGGTACCAAATCTACCCAGGGGATATTTATAACTGTAAACTAACAAGGCCTAATCAATGCAATCATAGACATGGGGAAGGACGTTTCCAAGAATCCACCAACTCCAGCCAGTACCCAGCCCATTCAAGTCTTCAGCCATTGTTCAAATATTTGTATGAGCGTACACCAAGGCAGCTACATGTACATGGCATGTATTGTGGATTGCACGCTCCAATGGTCATTGGAGTCTGGCCAAAGGAATTGTCCAACAAAATGACCAGTAGCAAAAAGTCTGGAGATTCCAAACAGATCAATGGGGGTCAATACTGGCCCATTGTGGGCCGAATGTTGTACCCATGTTCACAAATCCTTCAAGTGGTTAAGCTGCATCTTGAGTTGCGGCTTTATTTGTCATGTTCCTGTCTTTTTTATGCTTCCATTGTTAACCGTAGGGCTCGGAAGGCTAGGATGACATGCCTGCAAAGACTGGAATGTGTGGACGTGTCTGTCTGTTTGAAATTGTTATTTTTGCAACTAGGCAAAGCAAGGCAAGTGGAGTAAAACCTGGTCCCACAATGCACAAAATTCTATTCCAGTGATTCAGAATGGCTATTTACTTGAAGTTGAAGTCTTTCCATGCATGTGGCCTACACAGTGGGCCAGATTGAGCCCATTGGCATTGCTGGGTATGGCTATTTCAAACATGCCATTTCAATGGAAAAAGATGCATTTTCATAGTTTTCGCAAAAAGTATGATACCTTCTGAGCTGAAATTGCAACATCCCAGTTTGTTTAATAACCCATTTCAGATTTATTGAATTGTTGTTCCTTGAATCTGCAGAAACACGATTTTGCCAATGGAGTTCATTACCTTTCAAGATGTACATGTACATGTACATGTACTGGTACTGTCCATGCTATTTTGAATTTCACCGCAGAAAATAGAAAATGTTTTTATTGTTAAATTTTTAGTACAAAAGTTATTCACTTTATAATGAGACACCGACCAATAAAATCAGCCCAAATTATTTGCGACTGACTATTATTCAGTTCTTGTTGGGCAACTGGTTCCTGCCCCCTTCTTAGGATTGATAATGTACGAGGAACCAGAAACCAGTCTACTCGCGTGGCAGATCTGTTTGTGGGCCAAGGCAACACAAAATAAACGCCCTTTTTCAGGTGGTTGGAGAAAACAAAATGGAAACAAACCTATTTCT